GCCCTATCTAGTTCCCAGAGGAACGCTGGCTTTTCAGGAAAAATACCAACGAGGTCCCTCTTCAGCTCTCTTACGTAAATAAATGCGGCTGCTCATATGGGGTTATATAGGGGTTATATTGGTGTTGCTTCCTGCTAGGACGTAGCTTATAGCATCATGATCCATTTTGGATTTGACGGTGGGCTCCCAAGTGCCGAGTCTGGTCCGTAACGTGGTCCAACTTACCATGAAGCAGGTGCATCAGCTTCGTTGCATAATCATTCCTTTCGAGCTGCTACACCAGGCCCAGAACCTGAGTAACCTGAGCTCAACCACAAGATTGCCCCAGCTTTGAATTACTACTTGCTTTTTCCGCGTGCCTCTGTGAAGCCGGGAACCTCGTAGTAGCCTGGCCCTGGCCGCCCTTAGCCCAGAAATCGTGGTGAGAGGAGCAGGGCCCAACAACCACGAGCTTTCTAGTTCAACAACAGACACGTTGAAGGGACCCGTCAGAGCACAAAGGGCGAATCAATGCTGCCCAAGCGGCTCTCATAGCGTGCCTGGGGATCCCGGCCTGAGCTGAAGAAGCTCTTCTGCTACAATAGCGAATGAGTGCCGGCCTGCATTGCGGCGCAGCAACTATCTAGAATGACTATTTTCCATTATCCCTTAGTAGTCCAGGATGCCCATGGTGCATGGCAAGCCCCTGAACTTGCAAAACAATGGCTGTAGAACACGCTTCAAGGTCTGTCTTCAAGCATGGGATCAAAACCGAGGCCCAAAGCCTGGACCCCACATGCATCACAGAGCTTGCCGCTTGTCGAACCCTACGAGTCGAAGCAAGTCACGTGCGCCCAGGCGAGCTGAGGCGGAGGATGTATGCTGCCTCATCGGAGTGATGGCCACCGTGTACATTAACATATTGCATCATAACCGTTATCTGTACCAGTCAAGATAGTCGAGTGGCGACAGAGGCTGCTTCGTTGGCAGCGAAGCTGATGAGTTCCTAGGTGCCGGAACCACTAGCTCTTCATTCCAGACACAATATGACCTACGCCAAGCAAGTGACCTACGCCAAGCAAGCAGATTACCCTGCAAGAACTTCTCACAGAAATGCCGCGCACGAGCACGTGACCCTGTCTACATGTCGCTTCCCTGGAGCTCGCAAGCCCTGTATAGAGCAGGAGAGCTCTCCTAGAATGGTACAGTAAGGCTAAACAACCCTAACCCAGAGGTCCACATTCGTGTGCGGCCACAGATCCACAGCCCCACGTTCCCGCTCTGCACGGTGTAAACGAAACCTGCGGTGTCTCAGCCATGAAGCCTATTTTTGAGGATTGCCTTCAGCGCCTCTGTTTATGAATTTTCCGCCCGCTGCAGGCACAGAAGCACGCAAGTGTGTCGAGCTCACCACAAGAAGAGGACTGCAACTGAATACCCAGGGCAATTGAAGTTCTGATCCAGCAGCGAACCTGGAGATCGCGCAGCCATGTTTTCGATCTCGGGATTGTCACCTCACACAGACGGGCCAGAAGTGCGGTGAAAGCTGCGGTGCATGTATCTGTCGGTACTGTACGCGTTTCCTGCTGCAACCAAGCTGCGTGAGCCAATGCCGAGGCCACCATCTGTAAATTCTAAGCCTGAACTCGCCTCAGAAGTAAATGCTTCAGTTGAACATGCAGCACGCAATGATGCCTCTTGTGGCATCAGAAGGTTTAAGGCAAGCAATTGGCCGCCCTCTCCTCACTTTATATAGTTCATTTGTTGACAGCCGTCCTTGACGTCTTTGACAGTCGTTGCGCCTTGTTGATTGTGGTTCTCTGACCCAACATGGAAACTAGTTGTATTGCTTTTGCTACCGCTAGTATGGCAGCACTGTACTATGACACTAAAGTATTGCTAGAATTTTTCCATGATTGCACATATTACTGTTATCATCGATAGTTTCAGACCAGTGGCCCAGTCTTTCACAGGCCGTGGCAAGCCTGGATACATCGCCAAGGTTGCACCACACCAGGACGAATCTCGTGATAGACCTGTCAGGCCATGCTTCCTGTCAGACTCATATGCAAGTGAGAGTAATATGTAATGTAATTAAAGTCCGCCAACTGTTGTTCCATTCACTTGGACACTAGCATGGCTTCTTGAAAGCAGGACTTCTTTGGTAGCAAGAAATGCTGCTTGCTCCGCCGTGCTCCTGCCTGCAGGGGGGAGTTCAGACAAATCCGCCCTTTCCAGATCTTCCAGGCTCTGCGCATGCTTAGACCGCTGTGTTGCCTGGCGCCGCCCATGGCCCAGAACAGCGCGAGCTGCGGACGTCCATGTAGGACGAATTTCGCTCGCAAAGCTGCTGCTTGTCGAGGCCATCTGGGAGGCATGGCCCAAGTCCTTGGCTGGATGCATATCATCATGGGAAAAGGTTGTCTTTGCCTACCCTCTGGTCCAACAGTCGTTCGTTTTCAAACGTGCTTGGTGAATTGTAAGCAGACAGGGTTCAGGCGTGGATTGTGACTTCTGAACCTGTGGCCATGACTGGATGGCGACATCCTGAGCATACTGGATCATCTCCACCTTGCTCCTGCTCACCGCCGACGGGACAGACTTCGGAACAGACCTGGGCCGATCGCACTCTGGCGGAGCTCGCGGGGTGCTCATTGGGCGCTGCTCTGCATAGCCACCTCCAAGATGTTCACCGCGTCGCTTGATGCGGCCAATTTTCCGCAAAGCTCGGGTCTTGGCCGTGTTGCCGACTTTATACGGCCCACGCGCGCCTGCTGAAGCAGAGTGCATCAGTGCAGTCCTCACGGATGGAGGACCATTGGCAGACTCCTGAAGGGCTTGCAGAGCATCCCTTAAGGGAAACTGCAGCGATGGCAAAGGCGTCGACTCCGTCGACTCTGTTGCAGCTCGCATCGCCTCACGCTTGGCTCGCCCGAACCACCACCATTGAGGGGCGGTTCAACTACTCACCTTCTGAAGCCAAAAAGGCTGCCTAGAATGCAAGAAAGGGTAGCTACGGTTATGGACGGCGTGTTGCAGAGAGCAGCACATTAAAGCAGTACACCTCTCAAGCAGACTCACTATGTACGTGTCACAGGCACTTTCAGCAGTCAGAAAATTGCACATGTTAGGTTATCAGTTGTGGACTGGGATTCAAATTGCCACTTCCATCATTGACAATCCTGGCTCCAGTGCGCTCGGCTCGAAATAAAGTCTGCCGATTCAAAACTCAGTCGATGGAGTAACTTGAAGCAATGCAGTAGGGAGGCAGGAGCTGCGGCACTTGTAGAGTTCCACAAAAATTGAAGTAACAAAATATTATGGTTATATTGTATATTATGGTTATATTATGGTTATATTGTGGTTATATTGGGATAATGGAAAATAAAATGGAAACTAATGCAGCTTGCAGAAAGGCAAAGAGGAAGGCCAGATTTGCGTCTCACGAGCTGCTTTGCTTCGCCAAGCGGCGGAAGGACTTCTGCTAAAGGCGCCTAAGCCAAATATTCCATATTGTGCGGCTGGATGTCCAGGTCATTGCTACCATTCTGAATTCAGTCCTTCTGTTGATTTGTTGCGAACCTCTGGTTTGGGGTTCTTTCCAGCGAAGTGATGGCACATGAAGCTTTTTCGGAACAACCACACCCTTATGCTCACTGACTGCCAGCGGCCTGGACACCATCAGACAGGACCACATCCTGAGCTATCCATAGCTCTCCCAAAGACACAAGGCGCTGATTTAGCAGCGTAAAAACAAAATGGCTCTGCCATTTGCGCAAAGAGTCCATGATGACAAGCGCAGGATCCAGGTGACCCATGTCAATCTGACTCATGCATTCGTGGCCTCAGGAGCAGTGGCAACTTTGAGATCATGGTCATCCAGAGCGATGAACCAGCAATCACAAAGATCCTATGGGGGGAGCTCATTGAAGACAAGCCGACATGCCTTTGGCAGCTGAATTGTTCAACTAGCCGGGCTATAGGCTGCTTGCGCATTCGATAACTTCTGCCTTGCATGCGGTCAAACATCTGCTGGCCGCACAAGCACACACAAATTGTTCAAAGAATGTGCAGGCAAGGAAACGGCTGTCAAACTACAAGTGGCAACGTCTCGGAAGCGGCCAGCGTTCAATGATAGTATCAGGAAGACGCGACCAACAAAACATACTGGCATTCTGCGACTAGATCCTTGCAGGCGCAGTGGCGCGGCTTGCCAACTATAGGGTCGGAAGCACAGGTACACTAATATTAACGGGCAGGACTTTCTTGCCTGCATTCGTTGAAGAACATCACGCACCTTGGCTCCGAGCAGCCATGAACCGGTAATTTGGCATTGCACTTTCCTTCCATCACCCCGGACAACCAGAAACTTGCGTTTGCACGACACTGCATTGAAAATGCTGGGCAGCTGGGCGCCATTCAAAACACATCCTGGCCAAGACACATAATGGCGTGCCTGCTGGTCGTCGTCCACTACCTCATGCGTTCGGATATCATTTGTTTCCAGACACATGCGGACACAGCAAGCGAGACAATGAGAATAGTTGATCAGTCCAACTGCAGTCTTGAGAGTAGTCGCTTCCCCTCATTACATACTGAGACCGCCCTGATTTGAAATGTGGGTTGGCAGAAATGGCAAATTTTCGGACATCCTCCCTGGAAGGCCCCCCAAAGAGCGCGCGACTTAAGACAAAGACTTGCTGTGACTTGGGGGAGACTATCTTGCATGCATGCATGCATGCATGCATGCGCGACAGCATGCACATTGAAATACCACACACACTACATAAGAGCTGCTTGGGATTTCTGCAATCTGGGGATTCTCAACATTTGGGGTACCATTTTGGGGGGGTCCTTATAACAAGGATGCCAATATTTTAGTGTCTATACTGGGGTCCCGCCGTTTTTGGGAAACAACCATTTCGTGATACCCGAGCCCGGAACCAGCACGTGCCCTGCCAGCTGTGGAACTGAGAGACGACGAATTGAATGGGCAGACGCCTGACAAGAAGGGCCAAGCGCCAGGCATGGCCCCCATATGAAATCATTTTACCCGACCATCACAGAATTACCGCCCTCCCTTCTTAGATAATGCATCGAGCCCTTTGTGCCCACAAGTTTCCATTGGACGGGAAACCATGAAGTTGAGGTGGGTGCATCTGAGAGCGTGAGCCACGGAACGTCACAAAGAGCAAGCCTGGATGGAGCTCTGGAACTGTCAGGCAAAGAGGATTTCAGGATCCCTGTAATATGTGATGGGCCTCCTTGCGGTGTTGCAAAACCTTGGTTTTGCTGCTGAACAAGAGCCTGTACTGCACGTCCGCAAACTCATGGTAACTATGCTGACAGCCTTCTCTGCAGCTGTGGATGGCAAAATGACAATTTAATATGCAGATTGAAGTAGACATGCGCATATGTACATATATACTTATCTTCTGTGCATTCGCTCAATGATGAAACACGGTTTCAGCACTTTCGCTAATACTTGATAGATCCGCACGCCTACTGCGTGACTACCACAGGAGGCGGCTGCCACTTTGAACTTTCTTACAGATGCTACAGGCCCACCCCTGCACCCCGGCACAGATAGAGTGTGTAGAATCGACAGTGGCTTGGGCGAGCACATTGGCACGCACCGGGGCCGGATCATCGCTGCCTGTGGCCTGTCCGGGAATCCAACGTGCCTTTGTATGCAGTCCATGTGGCAAGGCTCAAGTTCTATGTGGCCTCTGCTGCGTGTTCCTCCTCAGCCCTCAGATGAAAACGGTCAGGCCAGACCCATAGAAGCCAGTGCAGCAAACTGTGCGCAAATTGCAGCACGCGGACAGGATGCAGTGATGCAGTGGTAAGTGGGATGGCGCATATTTCGCAACAATGCGTCATTGATTGTCGCTGTTTGAAAACACATCACCCACAGCGAAAACATGTCCAAGGGCTCGGGCATCAGCTCATCCAAAAGAGAGGCTTTGCTGCTTTCCGTTGGCCGGTATGGAAGCCTGGCAAGCTGGAAGTTAGCTGGCATGGCAGCAGCAGCAGCAGCAGCAGCAGCAGCAGCTGTCCCAAACAACAACAACAATTTCCACAACCCCTCAGGCAGCAGGGCAGCGAATCTTATGAACTGACACTGCTGGGCAAGCTATCAATTCAGACAATATGCTGGCGGAATTCAAGATCCGCGACAGAAGCGTGCACGCTTCTCAATCTGGCCAGGCAGGCGTTACTCTGAAGGTTGAGCCCTTGCCCACCTCAAGCAGGGTCAATCTGGCTGCGGCAGCTGTTAATGACAGATGAAACCCAGAGACTCAAAGAGGTTCGCGTTGCAAAGCAGTTCTAGAATCACTGCGCGTTTGCGCTGTACTTGCTGCTCCGGCAGTCTGACGACGGCCTCGCTCTCAACGGTGAGACTGCCTGCCGCGCTCAGTCAAGGATAATCTTGAGCAGGCCGCTCACGCAAACAGCTTGGTTGCCGAATGCTGGTCATGCAGGTTGCGATTTCAGCTTCAAAGCTTCGCCCTTTCAAAGTGCGCAGTTATGTTCTGAACCAAGGCTTCCAAAAACTCTGAAGTCCTGGCTCTTCAACATCAGGAACAGAAAGCAGCCACATTCTTTACTCCATCAAGAAGGAGTTGCTTTCCAAACCCTTGGCGCCAAACTTCAAAACCGAAAGAAACCTGGCAAATCCTGGCAACTCATTTTTAAGACCTGCCAACTACAAGCATTCAGTTGATGAGCCTTGCCTCCGTGCTTCACCGCGACAGCTCGCGAAATTGCAAGGCCAAGCCCAAGACCCTCGTAGCGCCGAGAGTCGCTTTGGTCCTGGGCATGGCAGGCCACCTTCCACTGCGAGGAAAGCCGCGACAGAAAACTGCCTTCCATACTTCAAGCAGACTGCAACATGGTGATGATCGCAATCTGACTATCCGATTACTGATGTTTGGACTGCACAGGAACGGAGAAAAACACCTGCTCTGGAAAAGAACTGATGCACCAGCATGCGTCCTCCTGCTCAAACGGAAGGAAGATCCGCTCGAGAGCTGTTTGCCCAATGCCGATGCCTAGTCGCGCCCAAGTTAGCATCAGCTCATGAAAATTCAAGCCTCAAAGCTTCAAGTTCCGGAGCTTGGGCTTCAAGCCGGAAGCCCTAAATGTCAAAACCCTCGATGAACCCCAAAATCGAAGAAAAGGACTGGAAACCTAATGGAACAATGTTTCAATGACAACGTTTTGACGATAGGGTGGCATAAGGTGACATGACTGCGTTTCATTGGCCCGTTCACTTCAATGTGTCTTCCTCCGAGCGCCTGTGTCGCAGACTTCCAGTGTCAGAAGCTGTTGATGGTCGTCTGCAGAAGCTGCGACCTTGCTTTCTTGCGAAAACTGGACATGCTTCGCACTCACAAGCTCAGCTCCATCCACTCGAGGGCGGGACGTGCACCTCACCCTTCGCTGTGTATTTCAGGGCCTTGTTTGCGGTTGTACAGCGCACGACCAGCTACTAAAGCAAGCGTGCAATGGATTGACAATTCCCCTTGCTCTGTTTTCATAGTCGCGCGTGGCTTACAATCTTTGTGCCACAATCTGCTCGGAGGCACCCCGGTATCAGCAGCTAAGCCCAGTAAATTACACTCTGAAACCATTTCTTCGATGCGAGAGGCATTGGTAACCAGGTTGTACAGCATCTGCATGCATCTGTGGGCATCTGCCTTCATACAGCTCAGGCAAAACACGAGGGTATGCAGCGGGTTGCCTATGTACTGCTTCCACAGTCTCTCGTCTGTTCTCTACAATTCTGATGCATTAGCGAGCTGCTGGAGGCCAGCATTGCATGGACAGGAGATAGTTGGTCCTGTCTGCATAGAATGCATAAGAGAACTATCCCTGCCTGCACCTGCAACACATGGACTGCGTTGGCACGAGTACCCCAACGCACCACCAGGACACGGAAATCTCCAGGATAAGCGGACACTTCCGCCGGCGAAAATTGTCTTGACTATGATCCAAGTTCAGGCCCTGCATCGCCGACAGGCCAGCAAAGAAAGAGAACTGCCACACCGTGCAAGCAATGCAAAACCTAGTTTCACGTGCCAACGAAGTTGCAAATGGACTGATTCACTAGCAAGAAACTGAGGATCTTGGGGTCCATCCAACTCAGTGTCGAGTTAACATCAGAATTCACCAGCTGCAAAAAACGATGTTCATGGCTGTCCTGAAGGGCTAGATTAGGCTGAAGGCAACCAGGTTGTAAAATCTGCCGGGGGTTGCCTCAATGATCGGCAACCTTAGCTTGAACAGCTGTGAAACTCGTACTTCCAAGAGCAGGAGAACTGGCAAAGCGCCCTCTCTCCTTGAAGCATCAGGCCGTGGCTGTTCAGGGACGTCAAACACCAGCTGCACATCCGGCTTTTTCACTGGCCGATTCGCCTGCCAGGCTCCGGCCCTTGTCGCTCTTCTCTGTATCTTGCGAAATCTTGCACCCACGCAAGAATTATCAGTAAAGCTGCAGTGCAGCATTCCAAGCTTACGTGGCGACCCCGTGCCCCCACCGACTGAACAGGCATTTGATTCCTTGTCCACGGCCGTCGCGCAGAGCAGGCGCACCTGCATCAATGCCGGGTTGCATGTCTAGACATGAGATCGTTGAGTGCGAGATAGCTGCATAGACATGGGCAGGCATGGATTGAGGTAAGCTTGGAGACTTGAAGTGTAATTTCTTCACGCATCTTCATAAATATGGCTTCAGCAGCAGCCTTGGCCTTTCTGATCCCTAATAGAGCCTAGTATTCTCTGATAAGATTGGCCGGCACGATGAAGCCACGTAATTATGCTCTGGCGCCGCCCGCCACAGAAAGCAATTGCCTATGGGATGCTATGGGTCTTGGTGCCGCATGCGAGGGCACTTCCCTCTCCACCCTGTCAAAGGTTTGAGTTTTCCAGCCTCCTCCAAGATGCTGGCAATCTGGACCGGATCCCTGCGCGTTTGGGTGTAGCCGGCACGATAGGCCCGTTTTCTCTTCAGGAAAGGTTTCTTGAACTTACTCCCTGCTAATGACAGATGTGATGGGGTGAGGGCTGGATGTGCCCGACGTGCACTTGAACTAGGGCAAAGCACACTAGTCCATCAAATGGACCCGGCGCGGAGATTTACTCTGGGAGGCTCTTCATGAATTGTCCCCGCTCCACACAGCAGCGTCACATGTGATGGCCTTGCCAGTGAGATCCTTTTGCTCTGGACCAGATCTGTCCTCATCGCATGCAAAGTGCAAAGTTTGAGGTTTGAGACGGCTTGCTGGAACTTAAGTATGGTTTTCCAAGACCTTCCGGCAGGCACTTCCAGGACTCCAGGAAGCCACTGACATGCCCAAAAGGCATGGAGCCAGCAGCTGCCCCTTTGAGACTCCGGCAGGGTCATGATGTTTGTCACCAGGTCGAGCAGGCGTCGTGCGCATCCGTTGATCCTCGGCATTGATAGTATGCAAAGACAGCCAACCAGCTTGCAAGAACTGCTCCCAACAAACACGCGGCAAACCGAGACAAGTTTGGCTTCGCCAGCTCCTATCAGTGTGCCGGAACCTGTCGCCGGTGTCAAGGCTCGGCACAGCTGCTGTTGGGCACCGCAAATGACTTCATCATTGCGTTGCTGAAGCTAACCACAAGAGCATGCCAGCAATCTCTGAATTGAATTGAAACAACAAATTTTTGTATCAACATGTTCAGTTCCTCAAGCTCAACTGTTCAATGTCGACACCCTTCCTGGCAGGCAATGCAGCAGCAAATTCTGGGCATTTGTACAGGCATACGAAGGCCTTGAACATGACAAATTACTGCAAATGATTGTACGACAGCTCAGACCTATCCAAAAAATCATCCACAAAGATCCAAGGCCACGATGTACAATCGTGATGTACAAGCAAAGAAGAGTCGTGAAACTTTCTGGCTTCAAGTAGTCCCATCCCCTGCATTGTGCCCACATCGAATTCTACGGTGAGTTTGTTCCGAAGATGATTTGCGCTGGCGTGTAGGGGAAGTGATTATAAGGCAAGCCAACGTCCTTACAGGACAGCTCTCAATTGCTCATTGATTTCCTCTATCTTCAAGGTCAGCTTCTTGATTGCTTGTCGGGTAATCTTGTTCTCATGGCTCATTTTCGCGATATGGATACCTCAGCTTTCGGGACAGTCACAGGACATGCCGGACATGCTTCCATCATGCTAGCAAGCTCACACAATGCCTGCCAACTCCTTCCACTGACCACCCCCTGCAGACAAATATTGTGCATTCCTGGAGGAGCGCAAATAAATTGTAGGCCATATTGGGCATCACGGTTAGGCGAGTGGTGTGCGACACTGAGGCTTGGGATTCTTGAAGTCAAGCGACTCTTTGCTGGGCCGTGCAGCTGCATACAGCCTTGTACAAACTCCTGGCGAGATGTGGGGGGCATGCTACAGCTGCACTAGTTGGTCATGTTAGTAGCACAGTCATCCTCCAAGTCGATGAGGCCACTCTGGTCATTGTCAATGATACGGAACAACGTCCACACCTTATGCTCAGGCTTACGACACTCCACACGCAAAAGCCGAGGAATCTTGTTCACTGCTGATGACAGCATTCTACATCCTCGCACACACTTACATTTTGAAAGCTGAGCGTCATCTTTCGTCGAAATTTCCATGGACTCAAGGAAGCTCGCCAGCTTCATTGTGTTGAGGGCAGCCTCTCATCAAAATGCAGCACGGTATAACCGTCTTATGCGTCGCATGTAGGTAGAGGATTGTTGTACTTAGCGCAGGCAGCAGTCATTCCAGTGCTGCGCATGATTTTAGGTTGCTGTCCCGCAGTGCCGAAGCTAAACGGGAGCTCAACAATCTTTCTTGATGATCCACTGCCAGCCAATCGACAACAGGGTTCGGAGTAGCAAATGCAAGCCGGATTGCCTTCCAGAGTGTACTTGTGTATTTGGGCTGCAGACGGGACTGACAGGACCGCCAGTTGAAAAAGCCGGTCTACAGCCAAGCCTCCAAGTTGCCAGACAGGTTGCAGTTTCTGCTGTAAATATGTGTTGCGATTTTGGCTTTACAAACACCTCGAGTCGCTGCACTGTTGATTGAAATCCGATTGCCTTTAACTCATCCACACTCACCATGTTAGAGCCATCTGAGTCCATCTCCGTGAACATGAGCTTCAATCCACGAACCTGAGACCACCAGCATTTTATGCCTGCCTGCTCACTTCATGAGCTGCCAATTCGTCCAAGGAACGTGCGCAGCTTCCTTTTCCATCTGCACCATGACGGCAATCTCTTTGTCGGCTTGCGCAGATTCTATAGCTGTGTGGCAGAACACACCAGTTACCTGTCCGCTAGCTAACTAACTAACTTTGTTCCGGTGCCGGCTAGCTTTTCACAAGAATTGCCTAGAACAAGAGAATTTGTAGACAATGACGTTGACCGCGTTACCTGTCCGCTAGAATAACAACTGAAGAAACGCCGTACGCATTCTCAAGAAACTGGACATGCAGGTACTGGAGCGGTTCTTCCCCTATGACGCTGACCGCGCAAGGGGGTCACACGCCTAGAGTCTAGACTATGATACCTCATGCCAGGTTACCTGCTAGGGGCAGGCAGCAAGCAACTTCAGAACATGCATTCGTGGTGACATACGTTGAATGCGAATATTGACGTGGATGGGGACGACAACGACGACCACCACTACGACGATGACAAAGACGCGGACGCCGACGCTTGCAGCTTTTCAGACAAGTGCAACTAAACAAGAAAAAGCTACTTGTTTGGCCGAGCTGCCACATTCAAAACGGCAAAAATGGTAATCACCTTAGCTGACCACATATGATATTCTGGTCGCGGGGGTCAATTTGCAGGCCACAGTTAGGAAAAGTTAAACTTGTAAATGCCCCACTATAACGGGTAGGAAAGCCAAAAAAGTAAAAGTCCTAAGAATAAGGCTAAATCCAGCCAAGTTACAATATAAAAAACCATTAGAATAAGCGCCAGGTTCGAAACGCGGCGGAGAGGATCCATCAGCTCTTGCCAACTTACACCAGCGGAAATTGCCATTAGAAGAGACAACATCGTTTCAGCTACATGTGGGAAATATCGGCGCGCATCTGCATCACTGCAATAGGGCACTGCATTTTCGTCTCCAGTTGCTTGGATCGTTTCCAACCGACAATGATCTGAAATAATTTGTGTGAAGATCACTCCAAAGCTATAGAAAACCAAGACCTGAGCTCACGCTGAAAGAGCACTGTGTCATTACCAGCATGCCTTAATAGTCATGATGTCACTGCTTCAGCATGCCCAGCATAATTCCACGATTCTGAGATGGTGTGTTGCCGGCAGTAGCTCCACACAAAGATTTGATTGCCCGCAAGAGCCTGCTTGCATTTGTTCCCTGTCCACTGCCCTTCCTCAACAGATGTGACTCCGCAAGCTGTCACCAAAACAAGCATCCAGGCCTCAATCTGAATGAATTTGGCGGATGATGTCCAGAGCAGCATAGCTGGCGAGGACCCCGGGCCATTTAAAACCATCCGAGGTTAGCAAGACGCTTGCGACGCGACAGAAGGAACCCTTGCTCGATCCCAAGGTAAGGCCACGGAATCTGAATCCCTGCAGATATTGGAAATCAACAAACATTGACAACATAACAAAACGAAAAAGTACAAGCAATACACAAACGTTCAACGACCGTAATACAAAAGCAAACAAAACAGAAAGACCCGCGAGTCCGGCAGCCCAGATTTCTTAGAGAGTTGCTTTGTCTTTCGGTGTGTACTGATGTTGTTCGGTGTTCGCTTCAACGACCAGACTTTCCATTGTCTGTCGCGCTTTTAATCTTCCCCAGATGTGCTTTGCTGTTGCCTTATTCTTGTTGTCATGATCGTGCTACCGCTTTTCTTCTTTCAGACAGCAAATTTGTTAGGCATCCTGCTTCCTGTTTGCAAACAGGTCAACAATCAAAAACACATGGACCCTCCGAAGCGAAGAGTCTTCGGTTTTCCTGTGTGTTGGTTTATGCTTGTGTCTGCTGTTTTCGTGCGCTCTGCGTTTTGCTGCCTGCGCGTTTTTTAATTGTTTGATTGCGGCACGGTTCTTCTTTCATTCATATTCTGAGTTTCTCAGAAAGTTAGAGGATCCGTGGCCTGCCAAGGGACCCTGCCTTTGCCGCATGTCTTGTCAAATTGCCCAATGCTTTACAAACTGGAGGTCCCTTCAGCAAACGCAACTGCAAGGAACGCATGCTGTCAATGCAGACCGAGACAGTCAGGCAGCAAACCTGGTACTGCACCCACCCTGTAACAGTCTATATTAGGCGTCAATATTAAGGGCTATATAAACTGTACTATAAATACTATCCAACTGTTACAGAATGGTGGCAGTACCCAAAATAAACCTGTAAGCTGGAGCATTCCAGACCAGGAACCTTTGCTGGCCTTCAGGCTGCAACAATGCCTAAATAAGCGCAGGAACTAACATGATGAAAAGGATGTCATGGAAAGCACTGACAACTATCCCCCACAATGACATGCTACCCATGTAGACCCCTCATTAAAGGACTCTGGTCTTCAGTGCCTGTGGGTGCGGGCTGCATGAAGTTTCCGGATGCGTCCCAGGAAGCCGGTTGCCCCGAACCCTGACATTTTCCTGAAAAGTGAGGTTTTACTGGGCCTGTGAGCTTCCACGCATCATGTCCGACTTGTACGCGGATACGCGCGGCACTGTCCAAATACTTAAGCGATGACACAGGGTTCAAAGTTGAGGCCGTTATGATTTCTGGAAAGTTAAAGGAAGCATGTGAACACCTCGACAAAACGAGCAAGCTGCCTTACAAGAAAGACTAGGATGGTGGGCCCACCACCTGCAACTCTGCAACATGACGCTTGATTAAGGCTTCCATGGCATTGACAAAACTCAGGCGCCGACCAACAGCACCATCGTCCACATGAGGCTCCCCATTGTGCTCACGATGGAGAAGATCAAGCCACGCAAAGCGCTCACATATCTGAGAAATCGGATGACACGGAAACCTCTCAATGCACGAACCACGCGGATGAAGCGCAAGGAGCGGATGTGCACCATCTGAGCCGCAAGTGATGCTCGTGCCCAGAGCTCAAGCGCTGACTCTGTGAGCGAAGCGAGAATGATTAGCAAATCAAACACGTTCCACCAGCGATCTGGTCCGCACAAAAATTCTCGCAGCCCAAGAGCGACTAGCTTCAACAGAATCTCCAGCGTGAAAATGCACACAATAACAAAATTGAAAATGTTGAACCATTTCGGTATGTCATGCTGACCGCGGGTGGTGCCCATGTCTACCTCAACGCCAAGAAGAATGAGGTTGATCATGATCAAGACCAGGATAAAATTACCAAGCCATTGTGAATAAGCAATCTCTTTGGCACGCCCTTGGAAGGACTGGGCCGAAAAGCAGCGCCATGCCTGCTTCAGACCTTCTTTTTGCTGGGCTGCAGCCTGTGCTCTCCAAATGGCCTCTGACTCCACATTCTGCACCAACGTGTTTCGCGAGAGCTCACGTACTAAACTGCTTCTGCCACCCTTATCTTTGCTCCTCTTCTTCCCTACTGGAAGGATCTCGGCCTCGAGATTGGCAGCAGTCGCCCCCTGAAAAATGTCGATCGTCCTTCCCACAGTTCCCTTGTTTGGCAGTTCGGGCCTGAGCTCGGGTCAAATGATGCCAAACATCCGGTTTGTGGGCTGAGTGGCAGTGCACAAAAGCTGCCACTGCTTGATTGGTGGTTGCTCCTACATCATACTACTTCTGTGCTTCGTTGGCCCATGTCGTAGACTCTTTTGCAAAAGCAATGTTTTCTTGGTGGCTGTGCAGTCAAGAGGCATTGGTTCAGGTGATCTGGGAGCCTCGCCGACCCCCTGGAAGCCAGCTCCGCGAGCATCAAGCTGCTTAGCTTTCAAAGCACTATCAGAGAATTGCTTGGGGTTGCGGCTCTTTGCCATGAAGTGTCTGATGGCTGCAAGCTCGACGTCAGCCCGTTTGGAGCGGTCAAACAATTCTTGCAACATCTCCTTTTGAACGTCGAACTGGCACTGCAAATAGTCACGCAGGTCTCGAATCACCAAGTCATCTTGTCCGGTTGTCTTGGCAGAACAGCATTGAAGCGATGCCGACATAGCTTCTCCGGTCAAATTGGCCAAACAACGTCGTGACTTGACAATCCTTCAGTAAGATTGTTCAGGAGAGCGTAGCTGCAGCTCTACGGCTTTGACCTTTGCGAATGCTCTGTTGCTTCCATGTGTTCCTAAGCGTTCTCATTGATGCGGTCGGCACATGTTGCGGAAGCAAGATCAATGAGTTTTCCTGCTGCCGTCACTGCAGTCTGGGCGGAACCGTGCAAAAAATTAGGAAACCGTGCGAGATTTGTGCTAGCATGAACTGAGGCCACAGAAGATGACTGCCTCATGCTTCTGCTTGCAGGTGCAGGGGGTTGTTTGCAAAGCTGGCTGAGGCTGGGGCAGGGTTAGCGGCTTTTTGTGAGAGCCCTCTCCTGACGGACCAGCCAAGCTTGCGAGGGGCGGCTCTACCTGACTCTACCTACTAGGAAAAATACACCGTATTTCAAGGCTGCCAGCAAAGTAAACGCGAACGCTATCCTCCGCTGAGCTGCAACTGTGTCTGTACTTCCATCAGACTACTGGATAGGGGGCTACTCACGATGCCGTGCACTCACCATTGCCACAGACGTGCTTGCTGCTGCATGCCTGCTGTGGAGATGAGCTGCTCCGACAGGCCGATGATGCCATGCAAAGGCGATCTGCAAGAAGCTTGCGAAGTGACAGCACGGCAGCGATATGCAGGAAGAAGCATCAGAAACCAAGATAATGAGATTCTCTGTGGTTGCCGGTTGTTTGAAAAGCCTAAACCATGCCCCTGCGCGTTGCATGAGTAGCCAGCGCATGCACAAGAGCATCCGAGCGGATCATTGCGAAACTGTGCTGTGATACGGTAGATCAGATGGAGCGACATCATCCCTGTGCAGCTGCTGCCTCAGCTCATGTGTCACAGCCGCAGCCAGGTTGGACTTTTTGATGTCTAGCTCCTGCACTCAGGAGTGCGGCAGCGCAAGAATGAATCGGAACGAAGCCTGTGTTGCACATCAAAATTTGTGGCAACAGGACAAGAAGTCTTAAATGCTTCTTTGGCAAAAGGCCCAGGTTGGCATACATGCTATGACCCAGCCATGGACGTCTAATAACCTACCTTCAGAAACCCATGGAAGACTGAGTTAAGGCTTGCAGCATCCTGTTCGCACCTCCCCCTCACATGCCCAAGAAAGACCGGAAGCGGTCCTTCATCTCCGTGATGTCCTGCCCAATGCATATGGCTCCCTTGGTCATGCCATCGCCTCGCACAGCTGTCCCAACACCCTGTCCATCACTCCCCACGCATGTTTGGGGGGGGGGGTAGGGTAGGGTGGGGGGAGCAGGGGGTTTAAAGGGGATATAGAGGGGTTGTATTAGGATAATGGAAAAGAAAATGGAAACTACTATTATTTAGAAATTAAACTGTATTTCCACAGACGAGAACGTGCTTGGGCATAGAATCTCTCTTCAGGCTATCCTGGCAGCCCAACTTGCGCACTGCTCCCTTCGCAAGCTGACTGCATGCGCGCCGCCACTTGTCGCTTCTCAGTGTCAACCTCCTGAAGTCTGAGCACACGGCTTCCCAATCGAGGCGTGCAGCTCAGCAAAAGGATAACCTGATCCTGGTCAGTCTCAGCGGCTTAGACAATGCAAAGAATTCAAGGGCACCTCGATCGCCCAAGAATTCCAAGATCAACTCAATTTTACCGAGCTTTCTGGCTGACTGTGAAGGATGTGGAAAGGAAAGATTCAGATGGAGCATTGCATGTTGTACGACGAAGGGCTGGCAGGTCAGCTCTTTGCTTTAGACTGAGTGAGTGAGCGAGCGAGTGAGTCTTTGCATACGTGTGACCCCAATGAACAGACATTGCCTTCTGGACTTGTTACAGAGTTCCGGCACAGACATCACTCCCTTGAATGGGAGGTCAGACAGGCCCAGCATCATGGCTGCGTAGGCAGGTCTGGAACACGGCGTAGTGCGAAGGCAGCTAGCATAGAGATGGAAATTGAGAATTCGCAGAACCTGTCCTGCTTTATGACAAGGCCCAAGCGGTTCAGGCAAGCGCATGGCAAAAATCAGGTCAACTTCATGGTGTCGCAAGTTCGGGAATGTTTTGGAGGTTTCTGCCCACAAGACTTTCAAGGCACAGCGAGTGCACAAGTGATGTGCCGTCACTAGCTTCCAGCAAAGTCTCAGGGCCAAGCATGAGAGCGTGTGTCCAGCCACACCTGCCAGGGGGCCTAGAACACAACTTTTTCGCTGATCGACCGTAATTCGCCCGGCCAGCCTCCAAATTTGCCTTTGACTTCCGCTCCTCAATCACCTCCTTCAGAACCCGGGCCACCTGTAACGGGGAACGACAGAATCACCGCGGTTTCCGTGCCAAATCTGCGTTTAGGGAGATGTTCACCAAAATCAAGGCCAAATCCCGTGCTCTCCACATGCAGGCAAATGTCGGCATCAGATGCGAAAGCAATAAGCATGCCAACCCTAGGTTGTGCGCAGTGAGCATGTTTTTGTTGCCGGCAAGCTTGCAGAATCCGTTCAGTGACCGGATGGCTAATTATTGATCTTCGTGAAACTGGCGGCGGCACCATCTTAGTGCCTGCCAGCACCCCGCATCGCCTGGCTACGAATGTGCCCAACAAAGCTGGGCTTGTAACTCTTGCCAACCCGCCAGCAGGAAGCACGGCGGCAACCGGCCCTGCATTTCTTAATTGTCTCTCCTGCCTAGAGGGTAGCATGCGCATGCGCGTCTGTATCATACCTCGTCTCAACATGTACAGCGCAGATTCATACACCCTGCAAGCTTGATAGCCAGGCTCTAGCAATTTCACTCCCATGAGCCTTTGGCTTACATGGAGCGATGTCTGAATGCTGCTCCCACGAAGGCACAGGCCCCGCCACACTTCTCTCTTATGGCTGCATGATGCAGAAACAAACCTGACTTCATGTGTACCGGGAGCAGGCACGGGTGGAGTTTGCCCCGAGCAGCTGAACTGGACGGACAGAAAGACCTATGAACTCCTTCTCACAAATGCTCCTGCTCCATAGCTTCATCTGTGGAAATGATACCTGAGCACAGACCCCAGGCGGCCAGCTACTGCGTGTGCAGGATCCTGCTGCTCCCAAGCGGCGATACTGAGCGTAGCTTCTGTGGAACAGGCGCCACTTGTCCATCAGCTCAGGGTCTTTGATCTTGTAGCCGTGGTCCTCACCTTGGGCTGCCATGAATTGTGAGCATTTGAGAAGAAAACACGAGCAGCTGAGGCCGTAGCAAAACTCGAGCTTTATGTTTTCCAAGTCTATCTGATTCTCGTTCATGAATGCATCTAACAGCACTCTGAGCGTCACCGGGAAGTGCTGCACCTCATGAGATCAGTTCTGCCAAATGCAGAGCTCAGGGTTCACCAGCTGCTGTGCGCAAAGGCATGGTGGTTTCTGCGGAGACTGAGATCATGTCCACAGCTTTCTCCCATGGAAGAGCAGTGCCCGAGATGTGGCTGACTAGTTCCATTTGACCTGAATCATCACACGTTCGCATCATGCAAGCTTAGGCCCGAAAGAGGCAGAGACATCCCTTGCAAGCTTACAGACACATTGATTCGCTCAGACATCATGAAAAGCTGTGGCTGGAGCTATCCTTGCAATGCAGCTCCTGCGGCTGGCATGCCACTTCTGAGCTTTCCAACCAACCCACACGGCATGTTCTAGCAGCTGCTTTGACAAGCGAAACACTATGTCTGCGTGGAAGCTTTGAGCTTGCCTCTGCTACCAGAAGGACAATGCATTTGGATGACAACAGCTCCCAGCCTTGAATTGCACCAAATGTGGGAGGATAGCGGCACGCAGAGCTGTGTCCACATCATGAATGAAGGACTTGTCCTGCTCAAGGCGGGCAAGGCACGAAGACACATGAAAGTCTGTCTAAACTTGATGGCTGCCTACTGGTCATAACATTAGGGCTGTCGTTTTTCCGGTTTCCCCGTCGCTTTGTACAGGGTTTTGGTTTCGGGGGTTGTGGCTTTTCAGGGGTTCCCATCGCTTTGCAGGGCGTGCATCAACTTCCTTTAAGCAAGTTTGGACGACTGCTCGCATGGAAAATTCAGAGGCTTTTGCAAGTACAGTACTGAGCCTAAAAGGGTGAAACGTACAGTAGGACCCTGGTGCTGCAAATTACCCACAGCTGCGCCAAGGCCTTATGAGCCTGCTATGGCAGGGGGTATAAATGCAGGCTCAGGCGAGCACCCCCAGAATTCCAACGCTAGACAACCTGCTCAGCAGCTGCATCTGGCTTTGCCTTGTAATGATGGTAGGGATCATCATAGGCGTCCCGGAAGTCAAACATCATCTGACTCAGATCTCTCCTGGATGTGCAGTGGTGTCATCACAAAAATTCTGAAGCTGCGAGTTCTTCTTCTTCTTCTTGGGCCTTTCCACGTGGAAGCGGTAAATGCCGTCGTAGACACAGTCAGCTCGTTTTAGGAGCATGCGACGCACGCCGCAGCCCAGCACCTTGACTCCCAGTGTCAGATTTGTACAGTGCCACCCGGTTCAGCTGTGCAGGTTTCGGGCCTTCTCGTTGTCTGGAGAAGGAAGGCTCAAAATCAAGGCTTTCCAGTTCATATCTGGCTCGTTCACGTGCACTTCCTGAAGGGCTTACAATAACGGGTCACGGTCTAGATGTGTGAAATTGAGAAATGCCAGCAGCACAAGCCCATCCTGCAGCGGTGGATCCTGCGACATGCAAATCTGATGGTACTTGGTGTACAAGGCCTGGTGCGGAAGACATGTTCTAGCTTCACGCTGGCAGTTGCAGACTTATCTCCTCAGAATGCCAATTCTCAGACTGAACCTCCATGGTGCTTGCGTCCGGCTTGCGCAAGCCAGAGAGCTGAGCCTGAACAGTCGCCAAGCTCAACACACAAGAGACTTCTTCTACAAAACACTTTCATCCCTGAAAATCCATGAGCGTCCTTCATCTCTGCCACTGAGGGCTTTCCTGCCCGAGCTTTCCTGAAAGGCGTGCATCGAATCAACCACAGCTTTGTCAGACACTCCTGGCTGGTTACAGCCTTCATCTACTACAGAAGTTTGAAGTGTGTGGTGTAGATCTGATGCCCGATGCTCCATGACAACATGGGCGCTACAATGCGCCATGTCCATGTGGTTCTGTCACCTTCCTTCCCTTAACCAAGCTGCAGTGAGCTGGGCATGGCGCCCCAGCAGCACGGGGCGAACCCTCCCAGCTCGCAGCCGAGATGGCTTTGCTGGGCGGGAGCTGATTCGGATATCAGAAGCCCTCAGTCTTGTTCTGCAAGCATCTTACCAACGCGTGATCAAGAGGCTTCGGCTGCAAAGCACACGAGAGAAGCTTTCTTTGCTCAAACTGGCGCATGGGGTTCCTTTTTTGCTGGCGCAGCACAGTCACATCTCACGGTACAGGCTGCTCTCATTTCTTGGCCTCCTGAACCAGTGCAAGTGGTGGCAGAGGAGCAGGGACGTCCGGAGAGACCATTGCCATCGCGTGATAGGCACCCTGCTCTGCCTGCTGGGAATAGGACGGGAGGCTGCCATCAATGGACTTGGCAATGTCAAAATACTTACTGGCCCTCTCGTCATTCTCCGATGCTGCAGCCATGAACTCCTTGGCTTTAGCGTGTAAGTTGCTGGCCTTCCGTTCTGCCACTGGACCCTCCACCGTCTGCCAGGCCCGAGACTCCTTCTCAAGGTATTGTGCATTCCGTTCGGCTGCCAAGGATGCCTGGGCAAACTCCTTGCCTCGGGAAGCATAGGCATCGCGAACGTTCACTGCATTTTTCATGGCTTCAGCCCATGGCTTCATGCCGTCCTCTGCAGCCTTGGAGGTGGCGAGGACTTGCTGCGTCTGTGCCTCCTCGGCCTTTGATGCTGGCCCAGCCATGGCATGTGTCTTTGCAGCAGCACGTGCGGCCTGCTGCATAGGTGGCACGACTTCTTGAAGTACCCCGAAGGCTTCCGCATGGGCTTCAAGCTTGGCCATATCTAGCACCTTGCGAACCTTTTCCTCTGTGTTCATGGCCATGACGGCTGCTTGCCGTGCATCCTCCTCGGCACGGGCTGCCTTTGCCACCACAGAGAAACCTGCGTAGCTGGCCTGTTGGACAGCTGTGGCCTCCTCGGCCGCCTTAGTTGCTGCAATCTTTCCTTCCTTCAAAATCTTCTCCATATCTGCGCCTTCCTGGGAAGCCCATGCCTTGGGAGCTTTTGGAGCCTGTTTGGGCTCTCGAGCAAGCACTGTTTGCCAAGATCTCTTCCTCAGGAAGTGCACGCTAGGCTTTGGCACACGAATGTTTCCTCCTCCTTGGGAGCTCTGTTTCTCCTCAAAGGACGTAGGCCGGCAGGCATCACCGGCCCTGAGATCCTCGTGACTTGGCACGCACTCCATCAAGCAGAAGCGCTCAGTGTCCAAGAGGCTCTGCGCAGACTCAATGGTTGTATCATCGGAATTCTTGGCACATAGGCTGTCGCACTTTGGCGCGGTCACTGCACGGATCTCTGCGAAGCTACACTGGATGGCTCCAGGGACATCTGTTTCACGGCTTGCAGATGTCTCACAGCAGTCGCAACTGCAAGAGCTGCGCCTGGCCCAGGCCTGTCCTGCCAGCAAAATTGCCAGCAGCTGCACAGGTCGCTTCATTTTGGAAAGGTCACTCGCCTCCCCCAGGTACAGGGCACGCAAATGCGTACTCTGAGCCAGAAGAAACGGCATGACAAATGTTTGAGAAGCAGCGTCATCTCCAGACTCTAGGACTTCCAAGTTTCACCGTTGGGCATGCACAACCGACAGGCTCGCTTCACATGCTGTGCGATTGAGTTGACAGGGAATTTGGACATCTTCATGTGCCTCCGCTGTGCAGCTCTCGCGGACGTGCAGGAGGAGGTCCTGATGCAGTCGGTTACTTGCCTTCCCTCCTTCTATCCTGCCAGGTTCTTTTAGAGCTTGCCGTACCTTCCCGGCAGCTTGCTCAGAGGTGATGCCGGTCATCTCCTCCACACGGTTGTTCCACCTTCACTCCCAAGCCAGGATGACAGGAATCCGCGAGCTACAAGTCAGGCGAAAGGCAGAGCATGCGACTTTCCTGCAACTAAGGTCCAACGGCACGGACCCACCTCCCAAAATCCCGATGAGGGCCACGAAAGATGGGGCAGCACTGGAAGGCATGCAGTTACAGGGTTTCGTGTTGAGCAACAGCATTCGAATGAAATGCAACTGCAAGCCTTGCTTGAGAGCTCAAAGGGGAGGGGTGGGAGCGAGGCTCAAGGGTGAGGGGCCCCTCTTCCCATTTGATCAATTCTCCGAGACCGTTTTGGGGTGGGGCGGGACGGGGGGGGGTGAGAGGGGGTTTGGGGCTTGCTATGGATTGAATCAATATCCAAGAGGGGAGCCCCCACCCGGCAAAACTTAACAATTGATTGAACACTTAAGTTAAAACTTCAGGAATGCAGGAATGGATCCTTATACCGTTATACCTATAGTAGTCCATATATAACCCATTGTAGTAGTTTCCATTTTCTTTTCCATTCTTGTATTAACCGGAGCCACATTCTCACCGACCTGGGAATCCGCCGCAAGCTCTAAACCTGCAGTAAGCCCTAAATACTAGTTTCCATGTTATTTCCCGTTAATATGACCCTAATGATACCCCAATGGTCATCAGTACCTTGGGGCCCCAAAACTCGATAGCTGTCATGACTTCGTGCTGCTTTGTCGAGCTGTAGTTATTCTTGACTGGGCAGCCCAGCTCTGTGATGCGATTATTCCGGTCAACCGCAATGATGGGAGCTGCAGCCTGCGAGTTCAGGCAAACTGGAGCGTTATTGTTTGTCGCTACTCTGGTCACAGCAACACGAACCGCTCATGCTGATTGTGGTTGCAGTGCGGCGGGCCGAGTGGATGATGTTCTGCAGCTCGCTGGCGATGCGAACCGCCTACACGCAGAGTCAGAAAAGCAACCACATTGAAACCTTTGACTCCTCAATCCTGTCTTCATGACACAGCCATGTCGTAAGCCGCAGGTGGCCAATCGGAGCAGAATCTGAAAGCTGGACAATTAAACTGGCAACATTTGGGAACCCGCGTTGGGACGCCTCCAGCTTTTGCCGGTTAATTTCCGTGATGTCCTGGCACCAATGACATCGAACCATAGTTGACAGCGTTTGGCCTGCATTGCCCTTTTTCAGGCGTGTCTCTGACAATCACTCTTGTCCTGACCAACTCCAATAACACCGATGACCTCGCCGTCCCTGATGCAGGTGTGCCAGTGCATGACACGACTTGGTGACGCATGCTGTTCGAAGGCGGAGGTGCGCAGTTGCATCAAAGCATACTGCACTACATCTGCTGCATGGCTCACTTTAACAGACCATGGATCTGCAACACTTGGCAATGCTCTTGGAAATGCTCAGCAACACCATTTTGGGCTTCACCGGCAGGCGCTGCTGAGAAAAGCTGCAAGGACGGTGCACAACTCAACTCTCTACCTCAGACCAGTTCTGCCTTGACAGTCACAGACGTGGCGCTCATGCGAATTGTTCGAGTAGATTTATGGCTCACGAGCCAGAGCGCACATCAAAATTGACTGGACGCACTAGGATCATGGCCGAGAATCGCATATGTTTACTACCAAACAGCCAAACAACCAAAAAGAAGCGATCCCACGGCACCAATCTCCTTCTCATCACAGAGAGTGACCCCAGCTCTCACTAGCGGAATCCCTTCAGCGCGGCTTGGAACTGTCTGGCCTGCCCAGGTAGCTTTACATCATCAGTAAGGCAGCTCGTAATGAAGGTCACTGACTATTAAGGAGCTCATGAATCTCATGAGCTCAAACATCACACTTCAGCACTGGTTTGCCAAGAGGGCTGGCGCGTCGGGATGCTGGCACACAGGCAGGCAATGCAATGAGAAGTCCTGAGCCTTTTCATCGACGCCACAGATTCGCAACACCTTCTGAAATGGAAGAAGGGCTGGACGTCATTATTTCTCAGCCAGCAGCAACTCCGAGTCAGCAAGCTTGCTAACAATCAGACACGGGCTTAGCAGATCCAAACACGTCGGTTGAAATTCATAATAATGATTCAATAGCATTCACCCAGATCTAATTGCAGCAAGACAGCCTCGAAGCCGCGACAGACTGATCTACAATCTACAGCCCACTTTGGAGCAAGCCATCGCGGTTCTGCGCTTCCTGCACACTAAGGGAAGGTTGGACCACTTTTCAGACACCCATCCAGCACTGTCGTCGACCCAGGAGATGGGTCATCTGACGAGCCGTCCATCCTCGGATATGGTCGAGCTAATAGTCTTGGCTGCACAGGCTGTCTCAGACATGCCGTGAGATCCCGACACTCCTACGACTCGCACATTTTCGCGCAAGATTATCTTATCAATTCGCAGGCAGGCAGGTAGACTGGCAAGCTCCCAGTTCAATGACACTTATTCACTACAGGCTTCTGCCTTCTAAGTTGAGCTGCACTGTGCCGGTTTCTTCTACCTGCGCATGCCATCATGCAAAACTTCGGCTCTGTGCTTGAAGAGACGGGTGTGCACGGCGCGGGTTGGGCAAGTTGGCCTGGCTTTCATCGCCACTGCCCTGCCTCCGCGCCCCGCGCCCACCACTGCTGGCTGGGCGCTGTCCAGGCAAGCTCCGCGCAAGACGGGTCGGGCTTCGCTGCCCACTGCCCGTCCCAGGTCGAGGCAAGATTTGGCTGGGGGGAGCTGGTCGAGGGCCCATGCCACCGATGGAAAGCATTGGGGGGCTCGCCAATATTTCCTGATCTGAGCCTGCATCCCCCGGCCCCTGCGCCTGACGTCGCGATGCCATGGACTTGCCATGAGCCTCGATGTGAGGTTGGGCAGGCATGGCAGGCTGTTGATCTTGAAGCCCTTCAAACAAAGTTTGACGCAAAGTTCGTACAGGCATGCCGCGGGAAAGGGCAGAGCCTTCAGTGGCTGCGCGCCTCATCGGGTGACCCCGCCTGGAAGGCGGAGCATTTCGTCCCTGCTGACCGGCCCGCGCAACATGCGCCTCAACATTAGCGGTGTTGAACCTTCGCAGATATTGGCCGCTCGGCTCAGGATGCTCAGGGTGCCTTGACTTCTGCATGCTTTTGGGGCTCGATGCAGGAGAGGACCTGTTACTTCGTGGGTCTGCTGCTGCATAGCCCGCGACCTGAAGCGGGGACAGGTCGGCTTGCGATCCCTGTAGCTCCATCGCCGCCTGCACAGCCCCCAATGGATGCGCTGCCAAATCATGTAGTGTCTGTATGAAAGCTGCAGCTGATCTGTTTAGCAATCGCAGTTGCGTCTCAGCATAGACTCGCATGCGCCGCAAAGCATCTCGGTAGAGCCTCTCGAATACATCACGTCCGGTAATGAAGTCTTTTAGCCCTGCTTGGGAGAGGGCTGCAGCAGCCTCTTTGCCAAGGCCTGCCCTTTGTAGCAGAGCCTCCAAAGCCTTAAGCTTGTTGCGCAGGTCTGTGATCATGCTCTCTGCTTTCCTGGCGTCCTCATCCAGCCTTTGCAGTGCCTCTTCGGCACGAAGGCGCTGTCGCTCTGCCTCCTCTCGTGCAGCCTTCAGCTCTGCCTCCAAGCTTGCACGCATGCGGCTGAGCTCAGCTTGAACTGCGGACGCTGCCCGTGCATGGTCAGGGCTATCTTCCTTGGAGGCAGGCAAAACCATTGTCCCAGATGTGTTTACACCCACTGAGCTTGTCTTTAGATTGCTTTCCCCATGATGGCCGGCCATTGGTAGATTCTCAATGGCCCTCACTATGGTTGCAAGCTCAGGGCTTCCACTTGCAAAGTGTTCACCAAGTTGTAGCAGCCTATTGCCAAGCTCTCCAACAACGCGTCGGGAAGTGGCTTGCAACGCGTTCTGCAAGAGATGGAGGTCGTTGCGGCCAAGAACAACTGCAACATCCTCAACTTGACCGAATCGCGGGTCCAGCTCAGGCAAGGCCTTGATAGCTTGCACTATCTCCTGCAGATCTGATCCATCTGCAACGCTCTCCCCAAGACGACGGAGCAGGCCACTGAGCTCGCCAGCGACGCGGTCGGCCGAAGCCACAAGCGCAGTTTGCAACAAGCCCAACTCTGCTCTTCCAATGCCCGCGCGCTCTGTGTCTCGCTCGTGGTCGATCTCAGTACCTTCAGGAAGCTTCAATGACTTCACAGAGGTAGTCATTGAAACTGGTAGGCTTGAGGCTTCAAGAGACACCATGGATTATCCCGATGGAAGGCCCTCATGCTTGAAAAATTGGCGGACTAAGAGCTTCCAGTTGTCGACATTCATGAGGGCGTGGAACATGGAACGCGCCTCTGTGCTCTAACGGTATCTAGTTTGTTCAGAGCTAACGGGCCATCGCCCCTCCGACTCCAATGTGCCATGCAATGCAAGCCGGCTGGACTAATTTCTGCCACATGAGCTAGTCTAAACTCCAAGCATCCCCCTTAAGAACCCCTATGAAACTCCCCTGAATAATCCCCTAAAAGCCGCTTAACGCAGTTTAGACAATAGCCTGCATGTTGTAGGCTTAGTGCGCCAAGCTACGCCGCAGGGATCGCGAACTCGCCATTTTGTTGAGAATCCTGGGTGCTTGTCGGTGCCAAACTTTAATTAACCTTGCCTACCAAATCCGGCGGGGGTGACGGTTTAGGGTCCTCATGTTTATTAACCATTGGAGCAAGGAACTTGTCGTTGGAATCTCGAAGATCTGACAACTCATCCTGCAGTGGCTTCAGGTACCTGAGCTTAGCAAGGAACCTGCAACAGACGATGGGGGCAAAGTGACCCACGCCAACTGACACTGGCACTGCGCAAAAATAGCGCTTAATTCCACTAAGGGACTTGGCCTCCCATTCTCTGAACATCTCATCTACATCTTTTTGGCTGTAGATTTTTGGGTCCTGCATGGGTAGCATCAGCTGCTGGGCTAGGGGCCTGCCAGAACCTTTGAACCTGTGGCTGCTGAGACGGCTCCTTGTCACCAAGGCTGATGCCAAGTACAGCCTCTGCTCTGCGTCGCATCTTTTCCTCCTTCCATTGATCTTCCATTACCTCTTCGGGTGGCAGGGTCAAACGATGGGTTGGCATGCGGGTTGACATGAAGCTTGACAAGACTCGACCCCGAAATATTGCTGCATAAACAATTTAATGCAGGTCGCTTCTTACCAAGCTTGGCCAGCGAACAATGACTCTTTTAGATCTGAGCTTGGTCTCCCAAACAGGCGAGTTCCACTCCCCCTAACTCCATATTGCCAGCCTTACAGCGTCTGTCAGCCTCCTGCTTTGCCACCTTGCAAGCATTGCTGAGACACAGGCTTTCCAGGGCACACTCATCTGCCCAGGATCGCATGCCTCTGCAGCAGACCTCTTGGACTCCATGGACGAGAGCTTCGTTGAGAGGCGACGGCGCTCACGTTCCGCCTTCATGCATCTGTTGAGAGGGTCTGCACATTGAAGTTTGCGGGAATGTGTGTTTCCTGCACTCTGATACATGTCACAGTTGAGTGGGCATGGGCTAGTTTCAGCTCAGACCTTAGTTGAGATAGACTTGACACAGTGATGGTGCCAAAGGCAGTGAAAGTGGGGTGGCCCCTTCCAGCATCATGCTCAATCTCCACTACCTACTGCACTTCAACTGACACGTGTATCTAACGCGGTGCCGATTGACCATGAGGAAGGTGCAGGCAGCCATGCCTCAAGAAGGAAGATGTGGTACAGCGACAGAAGCACAGATAGCCTGAGCACATAATCAAAAGCTATTGAAGAAGAAGGCATGAACATACAGACGCCGCCCATTCGAAAGCGTCACGACCCCTGAGTCTTGCAAGCTAGCCAAGCTGCTGCTCAAGCCACTGCTTCAAATCTTTGCAGACATCTTCTGCCATCTCTTCAGTGTACTCCTGGAGCAACCTGCTGGCTCAGCACATGAGCCAAGCAACGCGTGAACTTTCAACTCAAAAGAAAAAAAAAAAAAAAAAAAGGGCCGCATGTAAAGGGCTGCCAGCAAACGTCGGCTTTCAGACTTCATGCTGGGGAGTGAGGACCTATAATGCCTGTCCACTACCTCCGTCGCCCACTTCTTCTTGTTGCAGTCCAATGCACATTGGCCGATTCAGGCGCTCGGGGTCTTGCAGGGCCCTCACAGCGCATGTGATGCGCTCAAGGGCAAAGTCCGCCAGGTCCAAATGCTCGTAGATGCTGCTCTGAATCCTCGGGGTCATTGAGAGGTTTGTGAGCAGCTAGTATCCAACAACATGAACGAAGCCTCCTAGTGACCTGGCGCCTAACCAGACAGGCCAGGCTAGAACCTGCACCAAGCATCAGCTTGCCATCGGCTGCCTCGGCTGAGGAGCTGCAGAGATGTTTGGAGCTGCTGCATCACTCCAGGCAAGTTGCATACGGCGCCACTGGCACAACCGGGGGCTCGCCCTCTTTGTGACCCAACAAATCGCGCAGGTGGGATAGGACTTGCCGCTGCCAGTTTTCATTAGCCGCCTTGCTGCCAACATCAGCTTTGGCGCAGAGGCCTTAGCAGAACGGCTTGCCGACTCCAACAAGCGCGTTGACACCAGCCACCATTTCGATCAAGGAGCCAGAACTCAGTCCCAGCTTCTGGCAGGTTGCATCCTCCAAAGGAGCACAGCAAGAAACTGCACACGCAGATGTCAGATAACCGCCGCCAGGTCAAGGCCTGAATGTTTTACAGGGATATGTGCTGCTACGGTCTGTGTCACTCTGGTCCAATCTCCTGAAAGCTGAGCCACACCTCCGCCCATGTATTTGGCTTCCTTGCTTTTAAGATTTCAGTTAAGTGGCCAAGCTGCAGTCGCTCTGAAATGCAAGCAAAAGCTGATGCTTCCAAGCAACTCGTGGGGTGCCAAGCCCAGCAACCCGAGCGCAAGGCGGCAGACGGCCGCTGAGGCCAACGGGGCTGGAGATCTGAGCACTCACAAATCTGGCTATGAACTGGGGTTATAAGGGGATTATGGATAAGAAAATGGAAGTTACTATAGTATATAGGGATTATATTGGGATAATGGAAAAAAATGGAAACTAACTATACCCAATAGTTCAAACCTAGCTACAAGCCGTTTGCAGTTTGCAGCTAACCCAATCTCCAAGCCTGGAAAAGAGCCCCCACCGGAGCCTGCATACGAAGCCACCTCTGCCTTTAACGCTCTGTACACCCTTGACTTGTGCCGCCCCCATACACACTCGCGACATCTGCCAAGCTGCGTGGACTCTGATTGCTTTTTCAGGCCCGTCACTTCCTTGGTGTTGTGACGGCGGAGCGAGTTACCTGCACCAGAACGCAACTACCCAACTCGGTTTCTACGCATTGTTTGCGCGCCTCCGCATGCAGCAACCCAACTTGACTAGACTATGGGCACTGCTTTGTCACTGCTGGCCTAACATCTTTACCCCCATGGCATCAGCATCATCAGTGCTGGCTTGAAGCGATAGGGGCCTTTGGCCAAGTCTGCCTGGACACCCTGCGATCGCAGCTCGCAACGAGGCGCTGTGTCAAGACCCAGCTCCACAAGCTCCCCCGACCTGCCACACATATATTGGGGATAGATTGGGAATAATGGAAAAGAAAATGGAAACTACAGGGATTATAGGGGTGTTATAGGGATTATAGAATGATGGCTGCTGGTTTACACAGATAGCTTTGCTGCACTATTTGGCCCTGCCATACCGTAGCCCGCCACCCCTTCTGAGCCAATCTTGATCCACCTAGCACTCAGGCTGTGCCGAATGTGATGCCGCTGCTGAGGCTGGGAAAGGCAAAGCAATCCGTTCTGGGAGGTTTCAGGCCTACCGAAAAGCAGGTTGGTGTGGCTATTTCTTATCCGCTTCCATCATTTTGTTGACCTGCTTTGACCTTTTCATTAATGATTCTACCTGCTCGAAAGTTGTGGTCAGCAGATGCACCGAGAATGTAGGCAATTTCGTTCAGAGGCCTTTAAGTGTGGATGACGCTACCCGTGAGGCACGCCCAAGCAGGGTGCTGGCTGTGACTTCGTAGCCAGGTTGCGCATGATTTATTTGTCTGCTCCTATGGTAGCTGGCTGCTCAGGAGTAAGATGTTCTGATAATGTGCCTTTCCATCCGCTGCAGCTTTCTCTCATGTGGGGGAGCCTTGTAAAACTCCGGAAAACTGCAAGAAGCACACTAGTCCACCTGGCACATGAAAAACAAGCAAGGCACCTCGATATATTGAACAGCAACGGCACCTGGACGTCAGCCATAGCTGTTTGCAGAGCTGCCGGCTCGAGGTATATGCAGACCTTCCTTCACCCTAGAACTTTGTGGAGTTGTTGTGATTGCATTCGTGTGCTTGCTCTTGTGCATACACAAGCTCTGACTCAATGGCCACTTCTGAAAGTGATCTCGCGTGTCAGTAGATATTAGTTGACCCCTGTGGTAACTGTCCCAGTCTGCTGAGCCTGAGACAGCAGTGGCAGGATTCGTGGGGCACAGTACAGCTTTGCAGCTCTCAGCTCATGCTTTCCAAGGCATGCATCTGCAAAGGGGCAAGCTTGATTGGACATCAGAAAAAAGATTCGGATGCTCGTGAGGTGTCAGTCTGGGTCAATGAGGAAGTGATGGATCAAGGGTCCTGCGCACACACAGCACGAACACCAAATCTGTGCAGAGCCTGCTTCTCGTCCATGAGATTGAGGTCCTCAACAACTTGAGAAGGCATGCATGCACAAAGCCTGAGACCACACATGAGACATGTGAACAGCGTCACAATGCTTTGCACTGCAAGTTGCTGTATAATCCGCCTAAACGCAACCCGCAATCCCTGGCTAATTTCCTGCTGCTTGCTTTGCGAACCTGCAGGTCCCGCCTGTGCCTGTGCGACTTCGCCTGCGCGCAGGAGGAGCGCATCCTCAAGCTTCATGACGTTCCGCGCCTGGCTGCTGAGCATGATTCACTTCTGAGACACATCTCCGCTTGAAGTGCATAACCTCCAAACACACAAGGCATGTAGACGGGAATGCTATTGGTACCTACTTCCCGGATGTTTTTCAGGATTCGCAGTTTTTGTCACCAGCCTGCGGCTCCCCCTTGGCGTTGAGCATCAGGGAGAATGTGACCTCATCACCTACAGCGCATCTTTTGCCAACTGTCACATCAGGCTGAGGGTCGAAACCCTCAATTGTGGCGCCCACCCCCCTCCTGCTGTTTTGCAGACCTCCGTCGCCGGGCATGCAAGCCCTCTTACAGGAGAGCCACCCAAGGCTGTCACAAGCCGAATGTTTTTGGGCCGCTCCCGACATATGCCCGCTGCAGCATCGTCTGGAAGAGGCGTTTTGCTTACGTGCTAGAAGTAGCGCCTCCGCTACAGCTAATCACTCCCCTCTCATAACAACCCCCTGATAAGAAATACTCCGACTCCTCTCAGACAGCCCCAAATCCTGCAAGATCATGGAAGACTACCCTTAAGACTGCCTACACTGCTTTTGCACAAGGCTAGTTCGGATTCCCACATCATGCATTTCGTGCTTCTTTCGTCATTGGGGGTCAGCATGAGGAATCAAAACGGATCAGGGATCTCATTGATTTCCTACTAGTTGATTTTTGTTTGCTTCTTGCGGTGTGTCTAAAGCAAGTCGTGGTAAAGAGCCAAGGGACATCAATTAGAACCAGGGATCTCATGTATGTCCTTGGCCTTATTGTTGTCATAGAGCTTCTTTATTGGAAAATCCATAGTAAAGACCTCAAAGGAAATCGAATGAGAAGTATGGATCTGCTTTAGTTGGTTACTTTGTTGGTTTGGGTGATAGACATTAAGCAAGTCCCTATAGTTCTCACCAATGATGATTGTTTGGGGTGGATTCTAATGGGGGGGCACAGTCATTGTCGACCGGAAGGTTACCCGCCTGTCACTGTCCAGACAGCTTGAGGGCAAAACCGCTGCAACTTCAACAACACCCTGTCCGCAAAAGGAGCAGCCAGAGCACCTCTTGACATCTGCTGACAGGGCCTGTGGCTTCACTGGGGCCCGCGCCAATCTGTAAACCCTCCATTTGGTTTCGATGGAGGTAGACGTCCTTGAATTTGCGCACGCATGGTGCGCGCTACTACATGTAGATTGAGTCTAGAAAGGAGCGGGTCAACCGCGAACCCGGCTAATGTTAGACGCTGATGGGCGTGGGGAGCCTTAATTGTGCGAAGTTGCGCGGCCAAAAAGCAATAATTCTGAGAATAAGTCAACAGAAGCCATAAACCAAATTCGCTTTCAAAAGAATGGAAGGCAGCAAATAATTTGCTTAGGGCCCTAATCCAAGCTGCTCTGAAACTTAGATTTGAAGCCCTTGTCCAGAGCTTCCAGAACCTCACAAAGGATTTTGAGGTCGTCAAAACTCCGGATTCTCAGGTTTGAGGCCAGGTCCAAAACTGTTGAAATCTTATTAGGTAGTCCAGCGGCTGCCCGGAGCGTCAACAATACGAATGATTTTGGGGCCCTCAATTATCCGTCGAATCGGGTGACCCTAAAAATAGCAGAAAGCAACACCCTGTTACTTTGAAAGGCTCAGCATTTAAAAGCAAGGCGTTCAACACCTCAAATCTCCGGATCCTTTCTAGAATTCTCCTCAAAACCTTCTGAGACCTTTCTAAAAACTGAAATCCTCTGAACTCTTTAAACCTTTCTGAATGCCCGGGAGGGCCCCCCTACACCGATCAGGGCCGCACATTACAAATGTCTTCCCCAGTCGTGAAGCCAGACTCAGAGACCTACTGACTGGCAACCACCCCAACCTCCGAAACGCAAGAGGCTCTCAGCCGAGGCACCCTGGTAAAGCGAAGCTTTGTCTCCTCACAGTCGATGAAACCGTAGCCGAAGCCACCAGGAACATCCATGAATCTAGGCGGTTGATTGCTTTGAAGCTCCGCGACGGCATTGTTAGGAAGACATGGGCGCCTCTTGATCCTCCCAACCAGCCGCTCTTCGCGCGGATGCAGCGGTGCACCTGCGGGATTCGGGAGGGAGCCCCTTTCACTAAGAAGTTGCCGTGCTCTTCCAATTCCTCAACAGCAGTTCCCTACCCACTGCGATCTCCTCAAGCTTCGACATGCCTGGGAATGCCAAAGCAGGACCCGCGCCAACCTCAGCACTGTCAATAGAACAAAGTCCGAAGCAAGTTCGAGGAGCCAGCGGGTCTGAATGTTAACCGCCGGAAGACGGGACAAAACTATTGATCGCTTTCTAACTATTGATCGCTTTCTGAATTGCTCGACGCTTTCGCGGAGCATGTACTGAATGTATTGCAAGCAGGAACCAACCGTCCCAACTGCTATCAGAGCGCCTGAACCTCCAGTACACGGCGATTTCACCAATACTGCCATGCATCTTGGAGCTTGTATTATATAGGGGTTATGTAGGGAGAATGGAAAATAAGCTGGAAACTACTATAATACTATGAGGGTTTATTGGGTAGCTGAACCCTTGAGTGGACACAAAGACTGTGGTGAGGCCGCTGGCATCCCTGTGCAAACAACCACATTTCAAGGTGATGTAACGTTGTCAATTTTACCCTGGCACAGATCATCCGAGTCTGCTGACACAGCCTCCAGTCTTGGACTGAAAGTTTGTGCTCTGGTCAGAAGACAATGTCATATTATGAAACTGTCTTATTAGGGTAAATTGTAAGGGCGCACAGGTCCATCTCAGCTAGTTTGAAAATGATCCTACTGAAGATGAGTTCACTTCCTCGCTTAACGCAAAAAGCACTCGATGGCCGAGTTCTCCTCAGGCCGTCTGTGCCGAGGTGATCCCAGCCAGTGGCAGAGCGAATGTTGCACTTTACCACTCGCAGAATACAAGGCTCGAGGGAGATGGAAGAGCTCTCTCATCAACAAACCAAATGATCTGACATGTGTCCAAACTCACCATTCGGACCCATGATTAATAAACGCCCTCCTTTTAAGGGCCTTAATTTTGGGATCCCTACTATAATCCTTATTACCGGGAGGGGTTTGTTAATCAGGGGTCTGCGTTAGGCCTCATGAGGCTGTTCTATGTTCTGCCATCGGAGAAGCTCAACTCTGGAGTCTCAGATAGCCTGGCAGCCTCACTGCCAAAAAATTCGAAACAAACTCTGACTTGCGGCGTAACAGGGATATCGTAGTGTAGGGATTATATCAAGTCAGGTGTATTCATCCCCTAAACCCTAAACCCTAAAATTAACTTAAGGTGCTGTGACAGCTTATGCGGCCAGCACCACTTTCTCATTCGATTGTTTTTCCAAGACTACCACCTACTGATTGCATCAAGCTGCAAACGTGTCTCACTTGGGACATGGAGGGCACTTGCAGCGATGTTCCGCACCGTCCTACACAGGTGCTTCTTGTGTAAAGACAACTACTCTGTTCGAAATGCCTTGAGAACGCCAGCCAGATGGAGTTTACCCTGTTTTCCTTGTAGACGGTCTGCCCGCAATCGCTGATCTCCGGAAGCATGCTTGGAACCTCCTGAACAACAATCATTAGAAAGCATCTGCTCTGCCACATTTGCGTTGGCTGAAGCATACCCTGCAACATCATCTTTCTCATACCCGCACCTTCTTCCAGGACTGTGCGCGAAAGTCGGGATCGTCATGGCCTTTCTACATAAGACCGGCCACTCTTCTCGTGTCGCATGCACTCAAGTCCGATATGAAATGAGGGCCCGGCGACCACTGTTTGCACAGGCTGCAAAGAGATCACAAAGAGAGCCACCCATCGAATGTCCCGTACACGCCACGTGACTCAGCAGCATGAGGCAAGCGCAGCCAGAAAAGGCACTTCATTTCCCTCTCGCATCACCCTGAATGAAGCCCGCTAGCAAATTATGCGTCCACCTCCTTTGCCTCCAAGGATGAGTCGATAAAATCAAGGCACTTCTGGCTCGTGGGGGGCGGGTCTCAACTCTGCCCGTGTAAGCTAACCTGAAAGTTGCCTTAAAGCATCTTGCGTGCGGTGGCCTGCACTTGGCAATCTTCGACTGCATCAGCGGCCACAGATCTTTGATCATCCTGCTTCTCAGAACCACTGCAAATCCTTGTGATCCTAAGGGGTAGGTGCACTCGAAGGGCCTTCGCAGCTCATCGCGGTAGCCTGCATGGACAGCCTCGAAGCCACAAAAGGACGCCTTTCGGACATCCGTGGCTGTAGCCAGTTCATTACCTTCGTTTGCAGGACACAAACCCCAACTAACCGCACGCGGGCTCAATAAGTGTAGAGTGGGCTTGTGCAGGCCCCACCCCAGCTGTACCCATTTGCAACGCTTAGGGGTCCACACTTGTACGTCTGCCACAAAATCCTGACTTAGCTTCCCAAGAAACCATAATTGTTGAGGCCAGCGAAGGCCAGCACGCACTCGAAGTTCTGGGAGTTTTGGACCAACATGATTGGATCCTGCCCCGAAGGCGCAATGAGAGCAGCACTTCGCTGCTGCGACGCGTGTACAACACCCCAGCCTCATCGTACATGGACGCAGCCCCAGTCACAACCGTCACTCGGGAAACAATGTTCCAATGGTCTCCCAACCTGCAGAGATGCATGGAACCGCCCCACTGTAGGGGTTATTTGGGGTAACCATTGGGGAAATATTAGAGCTATATTGGGGTTATATAGGGAATAATGGAACAGAAAATGGAAACTACAATTCTGCACGGGCTTCCAGCTTCAAGCTGCTTACTGCTTGTCAGCTTGATGATGTTACAGGTTCTGATCCTCTGAATCTTAATGGGTGATTTCAAAACCGGTTCGGCAAACCTCCCCATCCAGTCCATCCCCGACGCCCCCTTCAACTCATCTTAACTCAGCCGGCAGTGAAGCGGCGTGCGATTTGCAACCTACGTAGGTTCTGTCCTAGCCCTTGCAGCAATGCTATCCGCATAAGCAACCCGATTCCACGTATCTTCCCAACAGTGTTTATGATGAGCTATAGTCTAGGCTATAGTCTATCCCACTTAATAACGAGTATAGTAGTCCCCTATATAATCCCCCTATACAACGCCCCTACCCCCCTTTAAGCAGTCTCATCAGGGCAGCCTCTCTTTGATGTGCTTCTTTGCATGTTCCGTGCTGTCATATTGCTTGTAGGCCTCGGGTGCAAGAATGGCGAGTAGCTCCACGGAAATAGTAATGCATTCCTGTACTGTCGCCCAGCTGCAATCCGGTTGTACAAATATGCGGTCCTGAACGGCTCCTGCTTCCATGCAATTTGTAATTTTGGTGGATGCACTACTGTGCAGCAATGCTCACAAGGAAAATTGAAACCAGAAACCAGATGGCTTCATGATGAGTGATGATGAGGCTAACCATCTAGGTCCTGATCCGCCACATCCTGGTCCAGTAGAGAGACGTGCTCCAAGCGTGGCTTGTACTTTGGCTCCCAGTGCAACAGCCAATCCTGATATCGCGGCTACTGCTGCTACTGATTGGTTGTGTTCATACTAGAAGCAGCTTTTGTGCTGAAACATCAGCAATGCCCTCCGGAAGCCTTATGTCGGTCGTTGGCACATGTCTGTGATCTGTTGAGGCTCAAGGTAGTAAGAACGTCTTACTATGTCTTACTCCCCAAGCTTACTGGTGATGGTGTGGTGATGGTGTGGTGGTGGTTGTGCTGCTGCTGC